CACGTGGTCTTTTGGTACTGACTCATTTTTCACCATTTTTTACCTCTATGTACCTTCACCTGTGGGTATGCAACACAAAAGGAGGCCATCTGAAGAAATTTCTGTTTAAAAAATGGCTGCATGCCAAACCAAACCACTGAAAGTTACTTATCACCACCCTAGCCCATACCGAGTACATTTGCTCCTTCCTTACTAATTTAGTATGCATGAGATGGACAGAAAAAGGGAGAGCATTATGTACCAGTGCTTCCAACAATACAGAATGAAGTCAGAAGCCATGTTCTTTGTTGTCTTAAAGCAAAGGTAATAGAAGAATGCTTTGGGAAAAAAAGCTAACCAATCTTCCCCTTTTCCTGTCCTCCTTCCCACCCCAACTTGTTTTTTTTTTCTTTCAATGAATTATCTTTCCTTGTTCCCCCGTTCTTGAATCATATTTTTCTCTGCTCCGTCTCCCTGGTCCATTCTCTGTGTTCTGCATACATAATCAGCCAGTTATTACTCTTCTCCAAATCCCCTCACCCCAACTTCCCTGCATCAGCCCATTTTCAGAGATGCAAGTGATGATTTTCCCCTACAAGGAATGATCTTTCTGCAAGGTCAGTGTGTATATATTGATTCCTCTGGGCCACTCAAATGAGCGTTTGGCATCTTCTTGCATTGCTTATTGATATGGTAATGCTTAACAGAAGGAAATGCAGAGAATTCCTGATGGACAAATTTGCTGTATTGGTTACGGGGAATCAATATGCTTGCACAGAACTTTCTGGGATAGCATTCTAGCACACTAAAGCTAAAGAATATGGCTGCCCCACTCCTGTGTCATGCAGAAGAACTATGGCCTTGGAGTACATTGCTGAGATGTCTTGCAGGACAAGAAAACAGATATACCATGCTAAATCTGGTACACCTGCAAGATATATCAGAACGCATTTTCATATTTCATGCAAATTAAAACTTGTATATTCTGGCCAGTGTTCATGGAATTCTAACATCTGTTGGGCTGGTGGGTCTGAAGGCGGGGGGAAGGGTGAAAGCGGGGGAGGTCAAGGGGCTACAAATAGCCCAAATGGGGAGTGGGAATAGCACAGTCCTGGAGATGGGATGAGTGGCTGGCCTTTCCCACCACTGGGGCTGCACTGCAAATGCATACAGGTGTTTGGGGGATTGGGTTAACCCTTTCTTAATGTAAGTTAGGGTACCTTCTGAGGTGCACTAACTTAGATCAGACCCACCATTTTTTGGCCAAATTAACCCCCCTGAATATCTGCATGATTGGGCATTTAGATTAACCTAACCCTGCTAGGTCAATCTAAATGTAACACTAGTACATATCTTGAAAACTTCTGGAACTATTTCAGAAATGCAAAGTGGGCATAGGATAGTTGACTTACAGTGCCTTGGAGTTTGAGGTAATATATTGAATAAATACATAAAAAACAGAAAGAAATGACGCCATGAAAGCTTATTTCAGAGATTAATATTCAAAATGTTCTCTCTTTTAAGTCTATGAGAAGTAAGTATCATTGAGTGTGTATTCCTGGAAAACAGCACCTGTAAACAAAAATACATTTAACTAACTGCCAAGCATCTAAGGTAGAAGAAAAGAACACCACATTCTTGTGTAAACCTTATTGAGTAGAATTAAGGCACCAGGACAGTCCAAATGATGTACCATGTGAAAAATACAGTACGATTGCTAAAAAAAAGTCTTTGGCACCAATAAAGAAAAAAATCAGGGTAGGGAAAATGTTAGTGTTTATGGATGTTAGGGAATGAACGGGTAGTGGTCCAAGGTGCAGTACAGTAGGATTGGAAAGACCCAAAGACAGAAGGGAAGCAGAAGGAAAACTTTAAAAATTTCATTAATGGCTGAGGGGGTGGGAAAACGGTATCTGACAAGACCTAGTGTCACTGATCAAAAATCAAAAGCCAACATTGTATTAATAGTTCTACAATAACTTCTACTAAAATACCTAGATATAAAAGAGCATTAATTCATGATGCATTACCAAATTTCAGGTTCAGATTTATGTTTCCAAACACCAAGGTACTGCATCCAGTACTCTGTCCAGTTTTGGGCACCACACTTTAAGGGGGATGTGGAGAATCTTGAGAGGGTTCAGTAGAGGGCCACTTGTATGGTCAGGGGCCTGCAGACAAGACCCTATGAGGAGAGACTGAGGGACTTAGATCTCTTCAGCCTTCGCAAGAGAAGGCTGAGAGGTGATCTTGTGGCTGCCTATAAATTCATCAGGGAAGGGCAGCAGGGAATTGGAGATGCAGTATTTACTAGGACACCCCCTGGAGTAACTAGCAATAATGGCCACAAACTGATGGACAGCAGATTTAGGTTGGACATTAGAAAGAACTTCTTCACAGTAAGTGTTGCTAGAATCTGGAATGGACTCCCAAGGGAGGTTGTGCTTTCCCCTACTTTGGGGGTCTAGAAGAGGAGACTGGACAAACACCTAGCTGGGGTCATCTGACTCCAGTGCTCTTTCCTGCCCAGGACAGGGGGTCAGACTTGATGACCTATTGATGTCCCTTCCAACCCTAACATCTATGAAGATATGCATTAATGGACTAATGAATCATATTTTCAAATGACCTATATGTTGTTATAATATGGTTATGCATTTTTATACATTTAAAAATTATATTTAACATTTTTTTCTATTGTAATGTTTTGCAGTAAGACTAGTTTCTGATATATAGTTAAAATAAGTTAGTGAAACATTAGTTTTATAAAACCTTATTATATACTTTTTGTTCTTTTCAAATTGATTTTAAAGTTCCTTGTTTCTTTTTTGTAATACAAATGGTATAGCTAGGAACAGAGTTATTTTGATTTATGCTTCAAGGTATTTTTCCATTTGAAAGGCTGTAGACAAAATGTTGCCAATATTAACAGTCATATTTATGAAAAAGGGATTAAAATTTTAAACTGTATCAATATTACAAGTTCCAACAGCATTTAAAATTGATAGAGAAGGGAGTCTCCTGCAAACTGGTTAAGCCTTTGAAAAATAAGGATTTTTTTTTAATATTGAGACATTTCCTATGCTCTCCTTCTCCCTGGTGCTATGTTATGTAGCAGGGCCCCTAAGGAACAGTATAGCTTGCATAACTGCAGCAGTGCATTCAAGCTACAACCTGAACTGATATTTTACAGATCGTATGCTTTTCATTTGATTGATTCTAAAATGCTAAGATAAACTTCTGGTGAGATCCTGTGCTATATCTCTGAGAGGCCACAGCATGGCTCAGAATATTCACTCCACACTGTCCTCAGGGCATTCTGTATACAGGAGTTTGCCAAGAGGTCTTTGGGAAATTGTCCTACAGCTGCATACTGCCATAACTATATCAGCACAAACCTAATTCAAAATGAACCGAGACGTCAGAGCTTCTTTATGTTGTTCAGTTTTTTTATATAAGGTTTCATATGTGAACATACAGCATTCTTAAAGTACATCCCATCCATGATAAGGACAGAACTAGCCATAGGCGATGTGTGGGGAGGGTACGAGGTGGTATGTGCTCCCCCTAAGACTGGCCACCACTGAAGCTGCCACCAGCTTCTGCGGGTGGTTGCGGCTAACACCCGCCATTCCCGGGCCACTGATGCATCCAGTGGTGTCTGTGGGTGGTCCCCTCTAGCCGCTCGCTGACATAGTGCCCCCCCACTGCATTGCAAGAGACACCAGCCATTCATGCAACTAGCTGTTCAGATAGATGATACAAAGCCACTCCATATTAATTGAGAAATAAAGAAGTTTTAGCCAGGATACTGGGGCAAACCTTACAGCTAATGCTATCCTATTTACATACCCCAATTTCTACCTGATCTCGGCTATTGTCACTTCATTTACATATTAACTAAAAAATAATCCTTTCAATCAAGACAGATAAATGAAAAAGTTGGACATTATTTTCTTGTGAAAAAATAGTATGAACAGGGATTAACATGACTAACCTACTGCATAGTAAAGCATCATTATGTAACCATGTACTAGGCTACTGTGCAGTAAAATAAGACTGATGAGCAGTTATCTACTACCTGAAAATATAAGTAGCAGATTAACTGTGCATTAGCTACTTCACAGTAGGGCATGTGTAGATGTCAGCTGGGAGCAATTTGGGGGTCTCCTGCTGCCTGGCTAAGCCCCATGTGGTTGGAGCTATGCTGCCTGCAGGGCAACTATTTCCCCACCAAGTGGGGATGGGAACATCCTGAGAGGTGGCAGCCAGGACTGCTGCATCCCACCCAGGTGGGGATTGGGTGTGATGGCAGAAAGAGGCATCCCTGCCTGGCAGGGACAGCCATATGCTGATTGGGAGGGTCCCAATCCCCATGTGGCCAGGAGAAACATCTGGGGATATTTCTGATCCAGACATAAATGTCCCCACAAGGTGAGGACTCCTTTCCCCACCATGTGGGAGGATTGGGATTCTCCTAATCCCCATGTGGCTGCCAGGTAACATCCCCACAGGGACTTCTCTCCCAGCCATGTGGGGATCGGGTCCGATCCCCAGGTGCCTGTGACACAGCAGTCCACCAGCCCCCCCGCCCCTTGCCAGCCCTGGGCTGGCACCTAGGGGAGCCTGGAGCTCCCACTGGCTGCTACAATAGGGCAGAGCAAAGCAGGGGGGCAGGGACATCCTGGGTCTCATCTGCTCTGGTTGGGAGAAAATTTGCTCACCAAGTGGGGAACTTATAGACCCTTTCCTTTTTTAATGCGCAGTAACTTTACTGTGTATTAATAGCGTGTGTAGATGCACCCACATACAGCATAAAACTCCCCATATATAAGCACACTACTGGATCAAATGAGTTCATATCAAGGACTTATAATTTTATTGTAAACTAAATACAACTACATTGAATACAGACAAAGTTACTCTGGTATAAAATTAGATTCTGTGAGATCAGACTAAATCTCTGTTAATTCACAAGATCACTGTGTACCAAAAACAGCTTTCACTACTTCCCTTTACAGATATAGAATCATCAAAAAATGGAGGGAAGAACCTCAGGGAGTCAATTCCAACACCCTGCTGAAGGTAGGATCTTCCCCATCTAAGCCATCCTGTACAAGTCTAACCTATATTTAAATTCCAAGAATAGACACTTCACAACTTCTTTAGTTCAAGTGCTTAACCACATCATTAGAAAGTTCTCCCTCAGATCTAACTCTCCCTTGTTGCAATTTAAGGCCATTATTTCATGCCCTGTCTCCTGTAAATAGAGAGAATTGTCTACAGACACCTTTTTTGTAGCAACTTCTTCTATATTTGAAGACTGTTATCAAATGCCTCCTTTGGTTTTCTCTTCTCCAGACTAAATATTTCCAATTCTTTCTTCCATTCTTTCCTTGCAAATCATGCTCTGTAGTTCAACACATACTTCTGCTACATGGGAAAAAAGGCATTGACAAAAATGTCTGAAATGTTACATAAATTTTGATCTGTATTTATCTTAGTACATTTTAAGGGAAACAAAAGGGCAAGAATTCTCAGCAAGTTTTTAAAAATGTTATAGTCAGTCAAGTTAAAATTAGTTCTTCTTGTTTCCCTTTTTTGACTTTTAAAAATCTTGTTGGATATAATTAGCAGCTGGTTAATAACAGTGGTTTAAAAAGATGACAAAATGTGAACTTTAAAAACTGCTTAAATAGCTAGCAAATAGCTTTATCACAAATAGCACTGCACTGAATTGTCTTGAGGAAGAGTATTCCACCTCTAGATCAACAGTTCAAGCCCATATCAGACACTACATTTTGCTGTCCCTGGGCACGTCCAGAGGAGTATGGTTGTGTGGTATGTGGTGCCACAAACACATTTGCAGCACCACATACCGTACAGTCCAGTGTTCTCTGTGCTTCAAGGGTGTGCTGCCCAAGAGTGCACTGTGCCAGGTTTTTTTCCCCATGTGATTTTTGGATATCCAGAGGTAAAAAAAAAAAAATGGAGAAAAAAACTTGGCACAGCACAAGCTTGGGCAGTGCATGCTGCTGTAAAGTGGAGCCAGGCTACCAAGCTGCTGGGGCCAGCACAGTGCTGGCTCCAAACTTCCCTAACCCAGCTGGGGCAACTTGCCACACACCAAAGCGCATGTGGCACAGGCGTTCCCCAGGAACAAGCAGCTGTGGCACAAGGTACACTGCTGCTACTTGTCCCTGGGGAACCAAACACCCACACACATCTGGATGCACCCCCTGTGGCCAACTTGAGTCACATGTACATACCAGGAGGTAGATTTTTGTCCCAGGCTAACAGTAACTGAACCCAGTATTATATCATGACTGATTACTTTTTATGAGATAAACTGAACATTGTGCTACAGTTCCCAGTCATCATAAAAGAGATCACTGAAATGGGCAAAGCTATTGGCAGTTTCAGAAGGGCTAACTGCCTTTTCATCTCAAAGACAGTCCCTCCAGAACAGAACTGAATTTGATAAAACTGTATGAAGACATTTCCATTTTCACTACCTATACTGCACCTGTCCTATGATTTGAGGACTTCAGCTTCTAGTGCTCTTAATCAAGCACCTTTTACAAGCATATTTGAAGTAACTTACTGATAAAAGCATATTTATTATATCGAACATGCCAAGAATTAAAAAGGGAGATGGGTGTGATCCTCTCCACTTGACACACAGATAATTAGAAAAAGGGGGATTCAATGGGCACGTCTACGTATTCATTAATGTACCGTAATTACAGCACACTAAGTTTAGTACCTGTAATAACATGTATTAACTTAATGTGCCATAATCAGCCATACTGCGCATTAGCACAGATGAATGCTTCTTAAGTGATGTTAATGTGCATTAGACTAAATCTACTGATCTTTAGCATGGTTTTTGCCAGCTGTGCTAATGCACAGTAGAATTAGTCTTCTACACATTAAGCATCTTGTGTAGATGCACCCAACAGGACTGAATCTAGGGTATCTTTATATGTATTTTTCTACTATTATTCAACAATAACCAGTAGGCCATCTCTTAAGAGAAAGGTTGTTTAGGCTGTATGTCCCTGCCTGCAAAGTCTGTATGTCCCTGCCTGCAAAGTCTGTGGATGCTACTGACAGTCCTTTTTGTAATGTGTTAATCATGGAAATATTAAATCTATCAAGCACATCAGGGGTTAAGTTTTATAGGCCAAAACTGAATTTTATGCTCATGCTTTGGTCTTTCCTGTCTTTAAGGGTGGGTAGGAAAAGTATATGCAACCCCGCACAAAACACAATGCTCTCCTTTCATATGAAATATAGTTGTAATGGTTATAGCTTCCGCCAGCTTCTGGCCTGAACAACTGCAGGCTGCATTTCCAAAATCAAAAGTGAATGTCTGCTCACTTGCTCACACTAACTTGCAAAGATTGAATTGATTCAGCCTTGGGCTTCTTGACTGTCTGTATTTAGCCATAAAGACCAAAAACCTTCTCTAACTGTCCCCAACCTGCACAGCTGTGACTTGCTGGTGAGCAGGGCCCTGACTAGGAACTACAGTTGTGAGTTGCCACTACAGGGACCATGAGCCACAACAGGCTTCTTTCCCTGCTCTAGGTGGGGCTGTATGGGAGATGGGTTGCGGGGGGCAGGAACATGAAGCTGGCAGGTGGAGAGTTAATGGGTGGGTAATGCAATGGGCAATGGAAAGGAAACGGGCGTGGGGAATAGGTGGTGAAATGAAGGAAGTTAGCTACTGAAAAAAATAATAAAAAAATTAAAAAGATAAAGGAAGTAAAGTAAAGAAGGTCTCATATTTTAATATATTGGGATAGGGATGGGGATGAGGATGGAGATGGGGACGGGAATGGGGATTGGGATGTGGGGGATTCTAATTGTGCTTCCCAGGATGGTTGGGAGCTGTGAGCAGTGAGGGAAGGCCCTTTTGTGGGAGCTACTACGCCTGCCCTGAGAGGGACGACTGAGCTCATGAGAACCCAATCTGTTCTCCTACCTTGCTCTCCTCCCCTCCCTAGACCCCACTCCCAGACTCATCTGTGCCCTAGAACTAGCTAGCTAGCATGTGCTCTTCAGGCTACTTGTATGGGGTTGCACCTGTGGGGGTAGGTGAGAGAGTTGTTTTGGGGCCAGAACCACCCCTGCGCAGTAGAATTTAGGGGGTAGAAAGTATGTCCACACAGAACAGGAGGGTGGGGGAAGGAACACTTCATCCTGGGATGATGGAGGACTGCAACTTGGGTGACTCACCTGAGGCAGGTGGCCATACATTAATGGAACACAAAGTAGGTAACACAGATCAGAGATAAACCTGCCCTTGTGTGATGTAAACTGCCTAATAGGTGCTTTAAACAAATATCAGAGGCTGACACGTGAACAATCCAGGTGTTAACAGCTCTAGCACCTGCCTAAAATTAATGCGTTACAAGGACCGAACGGGTCCTAGTGGCTGCTGCTGTGAAACTGCCAATCAAACTCTGGATGTTCTAGTTTTTCTATTTGTAACATGGGATAATACTGCCTTTCTAAACCTTTTTGAGATCATAAGGTAATAAGAACTAGGTAAAGTATTAACAGTACTCTACTTTTCCCTAACATTAATTACTGAAGAATAGATTACCATTTATCATCTTTGGGGCAAATGAGGAAGTTAAGATAGCTGTATGCTTCAACATTGTTGTTTGGAAATATTCAGAAACTAGCAGTATTATTGCCCTAAATTTACTGCTGAAACACTCTTATTTCAAATTAACTTAGTGACTAAACAATTTATCAGAAATTTTTTCCCTGTATGTCCACAGGTGCAAGAGAGGTAATCTCCAGGTTAAACCTGGGAAGGAGATTTATGAACGCTTTACACATTCTGACTCCTAAAGAGCTAATGAAGGGGGAGGGGGAGGAAACTTTCAAGCCATTAATGAAGCTCTTTCTGGAGAGGGGAATAGGTATGAGAATATTAAAGAAAGAAGGGGCAGAGAAATCAAGGGCCAAATCCATCCTAGTGCCAACAATGGATTTATACCTGCATAATTATAGCCAGGAGACTCAAGTATTTATAATGCGGTTTATCCATTCAAAAAGGATTTTTGAATGTAATCTCTCCCCCACAATACTGGCAGGATTTCAGTTTTGCTTAAAGCCAACTTTGTTATAGAATAGCTCATCCTAGCACATAAGTATTCAGCAATGGAATTATGGTTTGTTGCATATTACAGAATAACAGAAGAATGCAATCTGATTACTGGGAGACTCTGCTGAATCAATTTAAAAATTTTACACATGAAGAGTTGGGGTTTAATTAACTAGAATATGCCTCTATTTCAATACTGCTAATAATAAAATTATTAACAATAGTAACCAGATATTAATGCAGAAGGCCAGAAAAAATAAACTATTATTTACTCATGCTAAACAAATCAGGATGTAGAGATGTGCGTATGCTATTTAATTGGCTGGTAACAGGTAAAAATTTTCACTGAACTCAGAGGTATGGAATTGGGTACAACTTATTTACATATCCAATATTATCTCTTAAGATTGTTCCCTACCTCAATACTGTTCTTCTCCAAAGACATACAGTATTTTGTGCTTGTCTCAAGATTATCTTCAACCCATTATAAAATAGGATTACTTTCTTGTGTATAGAAATCACAATTTTTAAAAAGAATTTTAGATGCTTTCAGTAATATTTGCCTAGTTACAATTTTCCAAAGGTGACTAGATTTTGTATGCTTTAGTTTTCAGGCATCCATCTTGAAACACCTCAAAGTCTTGAAGCACCTCAAAGTACTAGTTCTCTAAATATCAGACCCAACTTAATTTGTAGTCTGTTCTGAAAAGGCATCAATATTTTTAAATTTTTTATATTAATACCAACAGAAGAGAGAAAAGAGGGGCACCCTATGGCTGCCCCACCCGCCCCAGCTCCAGCCCTTGAAGGAAAAAAAAACAAACCAGACTCACCGGTTCCTGCCCAGCGGGGGGAAATCCCTGCTGCCCCATGCCACATGGCAGGGGGGTGGGGTCTTCCACAAGCACCCCGAAGCCCCAAGGCCAATACAAAAGCTGGTGAGTCCTGGGACTAAGGTTTT